AGGACTTCACAATCGATCGATTCGGCGAAAGTGTGCGCCTAGTTCATATCGTTTCGAACATGAACGTTAGGAGCATAATCTTTTCACAAGCTTACCAAACTTATCAAGAAGAGTTGCATGTGGCCTTGAGGTTGAGCCATCTCTTAGTAAAAGTTTGATTAAGGTTGTAGTGCAGGTGGTCAGCAAATTGCATCACCTATCACTATCTTTACACATAAATGATTAGCCACCTCATATTACCTTGCTACAATTCATAGGCATCATATCGTACTCTAGTAGTTCTTTCTAACGATATGTATATAAGTTCATTACCCAAATATTTTGAGGGTATCATCCAAGAACTATTTTGACTTTTGAGGACGGGTTGTGTTCACTTGTCGTGTGGCTTAAGCACATGTAGAATTTACACTTCTCTCTAAAGGTGTGTGCTCTCATTGGGTTTTTAGGTTAATCACTTGAGAATCCTTCTTCTTTCCACCAACTTTGGCCTTGTTTGGCTAGAAATTTGCCACTATGAAAAAATGGAGAGGTGAATTAAACACTACAACAGCTCCCAAGAGATACTGCTAGTTGGGGAAAGTGACTCATTGTTTTTCTTCTTGCTTGGTTCGAGCTTTTGTTTCTACTATTAACATGGTAGCCACTTCTCTTGAATCCCAAAATACCATTTTCAAATGGGTTCTTTAATGGTGAACGTTGAAGTAGTTGGTCACATTTGGAAGAACTGAAGAGGATGGGATGCTTCGTACTGGATGAAGTTGTTACGACGATAGTTTTTATTTTGTTTGGTTGGGGATGGCATTTTTGCAACATGGTACGAGAGTTTATACAAGCAACACTGGTTGACATAGGAATTTTGCAAACTTTTATTCAGAGGATCAGATATACAACACGAGAAATTATACTCTTTGGAAATTTTCGCTTGCTTATCGAGACAACAAATGTGTGATCGATATCACGAGCAGCCGACTATTGTATTGATAACTTATTCGTTGGGTTCATTAAGCAGGTGGGCAGATTGACCCATCTACAATAGACGTTATTGAGTTGTTATTGTTGGAGCTCGACCCAAAGACATATATGTTCTCGAAGTACATGACGTTATGAATTCTTGGGTGAGACGCACTTACTTCTTTTTTAGTTTTGAATTTCAGTACAAGTATTTTGACTTATCTTATTATAGTTATATGTGTTTTCCGACGTTACAAATGTTTGGGGAAGTCTTTTCCATCAGTTTTAAGTTCAGTACGAGTTTTCAACCTATATGTTAGTACATATTTATTTTGGACAATATCGTATTTTACATACATATTTTTGACCTTTCGCCGATATATGTTTTCGACTTTATATCTTTATAAAGTATGTTTTCTACTTGTATACTGATGGGGGAAGAAAGTAGGAACTTGGAGGCATGGAAGAGGATTTGGCAACCCACTCGTGATGAGGTGGCATATTCTCTTTGATGCAACCACTCCGACTTGATTTCTTCTTTATACATATATATTTTTCTTCTTCCTATTTTCGAGTTTTTCAGTGTAGTAAGTTATTTCAAATTTCAAGGATGAAAATCTTTTAAGGGGATAAATTGTAAAACCCCACCCTCGATTTAAACAAAATAAAATAATTGTATCTTAATGTATGTGTCATGTGGGGCCATTTTTCCTTTTTGGTTTCCCCTTACCCGACCCTTCTTCTTCCTCTTCTTGTTGGACTCGTGACCCCTTTTCTCCCTTTCTAAAACTATCAACTCTCTTTCTCTCCCTCTCCCTTCTATGAATCACACACACAAACAAGAACTCCATGACAAGCCAAGGAACCCTCTAGCAAAGTTTTCATTATTCATCATCTTCCTCGACGTTTTTGTAATTTTCTGAGTTGGTAAGCTTCTAGAAACTCTTTGGTTGTGTTTTAGGAGTAGGTCGAAGCTTGTTTTAAGTTGTGTATGTGCATGAATCACATAAAAAAGCTTGGAGTAGCTTTTCCAAATTTTATGGCGAGCACCGCCACTTTTAAGGCATTTTTTAGCCAGACTACGACTAGTTAGCCTTCGTGCAAGGTACCAATCTCTTCATTTCGTCGCGTACTACAACTTTCGTCTTTGAATCACTCAATTTGGTTAAGTAACGAAGAAGTTATGAGCCTTGGAAAATCAACCTAGAAACCGGCCAAAAGCTTGGCCTGAAAACGGGTCAACCCAACCCGTTTACACTGAAACCCAAACCCATTTAGGTTGAGACCGAGCCCAATTACCCCAAACCCAAATCCTTTTAAGTCTAGGCCTTGGGCCAGATTACCCAAGCCGAACCCAATTATTTTTCTTTATTTATTTATCTTTTTAAAAACCCAAAGGCATTGAGCCAGGCTTTCAAGCCCAATACCCTTTAAACCCTAAAACCCATTGGACCCAAACCCTTTAGGCCTAACCTGGTCCAACCTAATACCTTTGACCCAGAACCGTTGACTTTGACCCGATCAACGGTCATCATTGACTTTGACCGATCAACATTGACTTTTTGACTTTTTTCCAGGTTTTCGTTCAAGACCTTTTTTAGGCTAATTTCGACGTCCTGGATCCATTTTTATGTCCGTTTCCCAAAATTCAATTGTTATACTATAGTTTTATTAATTGGACCCTTTATGTGCTTAGGTGCATATATTGTGGCATTTCCGTATTCGCTAGTTTGTGTGGCTCTTCGGCGGCGAAATATTTGTGAGTGGACCCCTTCTAAAATGCATGTTTTAATAGTAGAAATGCATACATGAAAAGCATGATTTAATGATTATGTTTTATGAAATGTTTTAATAGTATACAAGTTAATTTACCTACCAACGCAAGAACAAACCTAAAACACATTCGGCTATTACTCCAATCCTTAATGCACAAAAAAAAAGCTATATGTATCACTAATTTTTACCTACAAAATAGTCTAATTTACCTATTCCATCAAACCAAAATTTAGAAGGTCTAATTTAATTCCAAAATGGTCTAATTTACCTACATGATTTATGTGCATTAGATTAAAAGTTCATTTGAGATCCCACATCGACCAACGGAGAGGGGGTGATGTGCCTTATATGTACATGCTCCCTTCCTTATAGCATAAGGCCTTTTGGGAACTCAATGACTTCGGATTCCATCGGAATTTCGAAGTTAAGCGAGTTCGGGCGAGAGCAATCCTAGGATGGGTGACCCACTAGGAAGTTCTCGTGTGAGTTCCCAAAAACAAAACCGTGAGGGAGTGGCCGAGGCTCAGAGCTTGGCTCCCCCGTAGCACGATATTGTTCTCTCTGGGCTTACGATTCCCTCACGGTTTTGTTTCTGGGAACTCACGAGCAACTTCCCAATAGGTCACCCATCCTAGGAATGGTCTTGCCTAAACTCGCTTAACATCGGAGTTCCGATGGAATCTAAAGCCAGTGAGTTCCCAAAAGGCCTCATGCTATAAGAAGGGGAACATGTACATATAAGGCACATTATCCCCTCTCCGTTGGTCGATGTGGGATCTTACAATCCACCTTACTTAAGGGGAACCCGAGATCCTTGCTGGCACATCCGTACCGAACGACAAAATGGCTCTGATACCAAATTGTCACATTCCAGACCGGCTTCACCGTAGCACGATATTGTCCGCTTTGGGCCTCGACCATGCCCTCACGGTTTTATTTCTGGGAACTCAAACGAGAACTTACCAGTGGATCACCCATTCTAAGATTGCTCTCACCCGAACTCGCTTAACTTTGAAGTTCCAATGGAATCCGAAGCCAGTGAGTTCCCAAAATGCCTCGTGCTATATGGACACATCGACCAACGGAGAGGGAGTGATGTGCCTTATATGTACATGCTCCCCTCCCTATACCCTCCCTATAGGGCAAGAGTGATCCTAGGATGGGTGACCCATTGGGAAGTTCTCGTCTGAGTTCCCAGAAACAAATACGTGAGGGAATGGTAAGCCCAAAGCAGATAATATGGTACTACGGCGGAGCCCGTCTGGGATGTGAGAGTTTATTTAATTGCCTACAAGCACAAACCCACAACATTCGAACATTATCTAATATCACTATTTTGTTTTTTGGAATAGGTAACTTAGTATAATATTTTATAAGTAGATAAATTAATTTAAATGTAGGTAAATTAGTATAATATTTGTATGTAGGTAATTACATGATTCAAAATGCAGGTAAATTAGTATAATATTTTATAAGTAGGTAAATTAATTTGTATGTAAGTAATTACATGATTCAAACAATTTTTTTTTCCGTACAAGATATGTCTTTTTTTTTTTTTAATTTGGTAAATTAATTTATATATGTTGCTAATATTTATGATACAAGAAAGGTAAAATATCCATATGGATTTAATTGCTCATCATAATTAGGATGAGTAATAACATTTATTGACCAAAATAGGATTTGGGGCATAAGTTGGAAATGTAGTGTAATAATTGGTTATATATTTGCCTACATGACAGTTTATTTGAATATTTAAATTTGGGTGGGTTTTTATTTGAAAAATAGGAGTTTCAAGGACCTATATCTAAAGAATCCATATTCTTATATGCTTGGAGGTGAGAAGTTCAAATGAATAACAAGTTTGATATCAATTTATTTTTTTATTTTTCTCCTCTACACCATATTTTTTTATTGGCAATATTATAATTTTCGTCTCTCCCATCCTTTTCATATATTTTGTTGGCAATAAAAATGTTAGGTGTTAGAGAATAGGACCCTACGTCAAACATATAAAAATATCTATATAATTTATGAAATATTCTACTCATATTATTAATGAGGTCTTTTCTGATAAAACTCGACCTCTACTGATGATTAAGTTTAGATAATATCGCTGATATTGGTGATGGAGCATATTGAACCTCAAGGAGACCATGGGTGAATTCCTAAATCATCTATCATATCTCTTGCATTACCATTTGACAAATATTATAAAAAGTAATATCATTATTCCACGTCTCTTTTTTTTTTTTTAACCAAAGATAGATATATTAAATACGAATGGAAATGTTTACATCCTGCGCAAGAACATTAAACAGAAATTTAGGGCCAACATGGTCCCAGACAATGTCCTTGCCTTCCTTAAAGACAAACTTAGCCACAGAGTGAGCGGCACGATTTCGCTCCCTAGGCACAAAGCCAAACGTCACAGACGTTAGTCTTCGGGCTAGTACCTCAATATCGCCAAGAATGCATTCAAAGCTACAGTTAGGGGCAGTCCCTTTATTGATCATCAGAATGACAGTTTTTGCCTCTGCTTCCACAAAGACATTCTTAAATCCGTATTCAGTACAATATTGCAAACCTGTACGGATAGCATGTGCCTCTGCAGCAGCCGCGCAGTGGAAAGTGCTGGTGCCCGAGCCTCCTGCCGCATGGAGAATGCCAGCGAAATCTCTTATAACCCATCCCGCTCCGGCTCTGAAGGACGCACTGCACCAGGACGCGTCGGTATTGAGCTTGAAAGTTCCAAACTGCGGCTTTTCCCAGAGAACAGGCATCATCGGATGAGATTTTAGGGGCCGTACTGCACCCTCATCCAGAGAACCATGATTCATAGCTTCCCTGTACTCACCGATGTTCTTCCTCCAAACAGTTAGGATTTCATTTGGTTGGCAGTGTGACCCTTTGAACACCACATCATTTCTGTTTTTCCATATCCGCCAAAGCCCAAACGCAAATTCTTGCATGATAGCCTCTGCATCCTCTCTATCTTTAATACTAGTGCAAAAGATATTCCAGCTATCTAAAAAATCAGCACCGATCAATTCAATGCAGTTGAGATGTAGTGGGGAACAAAACCAGAGGCGGTGGCTGAGGTCACATCTAAAAAATAGGTGATTTTCAGATTCGTCAACCAAGTTGCATACCCCGCAGACATTGTCGATCCGCATATATCGTCTTTTTAGATTGTGACGAACAGCAAAGGCATTATTACAGCATCTCCATATGAAGAACTTGATTTTGTTGGGAACTTGAAGGTTCCAAATACCTTTCCAAACCTGATTGGTGTTATGGTGCATGCTAGGGACTCCTCGCCCTTTTTTTCCCAAAACTCCGTTCTCTAGTAAACTAACAGCAACCCCGTAACCGGTTTTAACCGAGTAGCTTCCGTCGACGGTGTGGTGCCACACAAGTCTATCACAGCAGCCAAATTTACTTAAGGGGATGCTAAGTATGTGTTTTGTATCCTCCGAATTGAAGCCTTGCATGATGACTTCACTCTTCCATGACCTGGAGTTGGGCTCAATCAAATCACTAACCATAGTTTCTTGCAGGCAGTCTCTCGGCTTTACCAAAAAGGTGGTGGGTTTCGGGAACCACGGGTCGTCCCGGATGTTAATCTTAGTGCCATCTCCCACCCGCCACCTGATTCCATGTTGAAGCACCCTTCGAGCTTCGAAGATACCTTTCCATCCCCACGATGTGTTTTTACCCTTTCCTGCCTCCCTAAAGGTTTTCTCCGGGAAGTATTTTTCTCTTAGCACAAAGGCTAAGAGAGACGACGGGTTCTGGATAATTCTCCAACCGATCTTAGCCAGGAAAGCAAGATTGAAACATTGTATGTCTTTAAAGCCAAGTCCGCCCAACTTTTTGTGCCTCATTAATCGATCCCATGAGATCCAGTGAACTCCCTTCTTTTGGTCATTTCCTCTCCACCAATAATTCCGTATAGCCCTCTCCACATCCCTGCAAACCCCGATGGGGAGCTTAAAACAACTCATGGCGTAGTTGGGCAGTGCCATGGCCACCGCCTTAACGAGGACCTCTTTGCCGGCATGGGACAGGAACTGCTCAGACCATCCCGCTAGTCTAGCCTCAATCTTATCCCGGACCTCAGCAAACACTACTTTTTTGGACATGCCAAAATCAGATTGTAGCCCTAGGTATTTCCCAAAGCCCATCCTACAGTGGATGCCTAAAGTTTCCCCAATTTTCTTCTTATTTCTTTTCGATGTTGTGGATCCAAATAAAAAAGAGCTCTTGTCCAGATTTATGTTCTGCCCCGAGCCATTTGCATAAACATTCAGAACATCCACCATCCCTTGAGCCTCCTCCATAGTGGCGTGCCCAAAAAGCACAGAGTCATCCGCAAAGAAGAGGTGGGATATAGGGTTACCACTTGGTGTCAGCTTGATACCGTGTAGGGATCCGCTTTCCATGCTTCTTCTGATTAGCGAAGAGAATCCTTCGGTACATAAGAGAAACAGAAAAAGGGATAGTGGGTCACCTTGTCGAAGCCCCCTCTCAGGATGGATATGGCCCGTCGGAGAACCATTAATAAGAATACTGAAGGAGACAGAAGAGATGCATTCCTTTATACGATCGCAGAACATAGGTGCAAAACCCAATTTGACCATCATGGAAAGAAGGAAGTTCCATTCCACCCGGTCGTACGCTTTGGCCATGTCCAACTTTATGGCCATTCCTTCTTGGTTCCCTTTCTTTTGGTGAAGCAGAGAGTGAAGAATTTCATGCACCACTAGGATGTTGTCTTGTATTTGTTTCCCAGCAACGAAAGCGGATTGATATTCTCCAATTATTTTCGACATCACAGACTTTAGCCTGTTAGTCAATATCTTGGCAATGATCTTATAAATAACGTTGCATAGCGCAATAGGCCTGAATTGCACCATACTCTTTGGACATTTCACCTTTGGGATGAGAACCAAATTGGTGTGGTTTAGCTTCCTCAACAGTTTCCCCGAGTGCCAGAAGGCATTGACAACCAAAGTCACATCCTTACCCACAGTCTCCCAATGATCCTTATAGAAACATCCGGTGAAGCCGTCTGGCCCCGGGGCTCTCGTAGGTGGAATTTGGAAGGCTGCCTCCATAATTTCACTGTCTGTGATCGGAGCCGTCAGAAGCTGGTTGTCATCATTACTAACTCTATTTTCCATGCACTCCGTTATCTCTCCAATATGACTCGGCCTAGAGGATTGAAAGAAGCCAGTAAAGTAGGAAGAAGCAATATCACAGATTTCCTTTTCATCCTCGTGCCAAACTCCGTGATGGTCCTCCAGCCCTTTGATCTTATTGTGCTTTCTTCTTCTCATAGTTTGTGCATGAAAGAATTTAGTGTTCTTGTCACCCTCTTTTAACCATTGAATTCTGGATTTCAATTTCCAGTAGGCTTCTTCTTCCTTGTGAGCAGCTCGTAATTCTTTCTCCTTTATCTTTATCTGGTCGGAAGCAAACTGATTGGACTCATAAGCCCTCCGGATCTCCACCTTCAGTTGGTCAATAGCCTTCTTAGAGTTTCTACCCTTGCCTCTATACCACTCCTTTAAGCTCATTCTTAGTGTTTTCATTTTTTTCACATAAACGAAAGGCATGGGAGCCTCCCGAAATACATCTCCAGTCTCTGGACACACGGTCGCGACAGTCTTCCATTTTGCTCCACCGTGAGTCAAAGGCGAATTTCCGTCCTCTCCACACCCTCATTTTTTCAGTGAAGAGGATCAACATTACATGATCAGATCCGTCGAGGGTGACGTGCTTGATTGTGGTGTCAGGGTAGAGATCGGACCAACCTGGGGTAGCAAGCCCGCGATCCAACCTCTGTTGGATGGGAAGTGAATCGCGATTGTTCCTCCACATGAATGGGTAGCCTTCAAAACCCAAGTCCAGGAGCTCGTTCCTCGCCACGAAATCTCTGAAGTCCCTCAAACTGGAGATAGACCTTGTGTTGCCGCCTTCCTTCTCATCGTTGCACAAGATGTCGTTGAAATCACCAATGAGGAGGCAGTGGTTATCATCATAGTTGATCCTTTTGCTAAGATTCTTCCATTGCTCCCTTCGTCTCTGTTCATCCGTACTGGCATAAATGGCAAAAAGTCTCCAGTGGTGGTTGATGGTTGCATCCCAAACCTTGACTTCAATCATGAACTCCTCTGATTTTACAAGCATGATTTGTGACTCATCTTTCCAGAGGACACAGAGTCCGCCACCGATGCCTTTTGGCTCCACAGCGAACATAAAATTCATATCTAACCTTCTTTTCAGAAACTCATAGCGACTGCTTTTATTTTTCGTTTCAAGCAGGATCACTATGTCGGGGGTATGACGCCGGTTCTGTTCCAGCAAATTGTCAACTGTCAGGTCACCCCCGATACCCTGGCAGTTCCAAACGATTAGCTTCATGGATTCTTGGGAGACCCCTCTAGGCTGGTCTCCTCCGCCTCTGGAATAAGGTTTTTCCTTGGCCGGTTCTTCCTTGGTTCCCATTGTGGGTTGGGCGTGAAATCGTCTCCCTCGTGACGCCCTCGTTTCTTCCCACTCTGTTCTTTCATCACAGCTTCGATGATGGGAGCTAATTCGAATGGGTCATCGTTCACCTCCTTGTTGTTATCCGAGTTATTTCCTTGGTCCCCCTCCCTGATATTGACTTCCTCTCCTGTAAGAGTGCCTCTGTCTGAGTCCTCTACCTGGTTTGGGAAGGAGTTAAGGTCGATACCTTGACTGTGCCCAAGAGGCGTCTCCAGAGTCTTGTTCGTGATGTCCTCCTCTTGGAGTTCGAACAGCACCACATGTTCCGCTCCAGTAGCAAGAACTCCTCCAGGTCCAATTAATCCGGCGTCGAAAGCAGCTTCCCTTGCCATTCGCGCACCTTCCTCTTCCTCCCGTTTAGTTCGAAGTCTATCATTTGCCTTGGATTCTCCAGTACATTGTCTGTTAGTGGACCATTTAGGCTTGCTGGGCGATATAGCCGTGTCAGTCACCTCTTCCATCATCGTAGAGAGACAGATGTTCCCACTCGGGGTTTTGGAGCCACCAAAAGGTGTTTGGCCTCCAATGCCGGATCCAGCTGATGATCTTCCAGATCTCCACCCACCATCTGCCTCCTCATTCAGTTCCTCTTTGTAACTTTCTGAGCTTCGTCGCCCACCATTTGAGCCAAAAGAAGTTCTACTGCGTGAGGCATTCCCCAATAAATTCCCCCGTAGGTCTGTAGTAGCGTCCAACCCACGAAATGCCCATTCTTCGTCATTCTCCTCACTGATCATACAATCAGACTCTTCTCCTTTCTTTGAGGGTTTACAAGTGCTGGTGGTATGTCCAAGTAATCCACAGTTTAGACAGTACTTCGGTAGAGCTTCGTATTTGAAGTCAACCCAAACTTTCCCTTCGTCTGGAAAGTTAACAACAGTTCCCCGCATGAGGGGTTCCCGGACATTGAATCTAACCTTCACTCGAAGGAATCTACCAATGCAATCCCGACTCCCTGATTTATCGACCTTACGCACGGTCCCAATCAATCCCTCGATAGTTTCTGCGACCGCTTTCGTCATGCTCAGAACAGGAACATTGTGGATTTGGGTCCAGAATGTGCCCAGGATGAGTGGCGTCCATCTATTTAGCCCAGGCTCAGATCTGTCAGCTACCATGACCAAATCATGTTTAAAGACCCAGGGTTGCTCAACATCCAAGACTCTCTGCATATCACGTTGGCTGGCAAATCTGGCAAGGAATCTGCGATCCCCAATGTCTCTGATGGAGACTCCCTCCCTGCCTCGCCACAAGGACATGAAACAGTCAATAAACACTTCGCCCTTCACCTCCTTGCAGGTCAGCACTTCAGCAATCATGGTGTATTGGAACCCCAGTAAAGCCCCTTCTACATCCTTTCTTTCAATGTTGACACCCCCAAGCTCCTTCTCAGACAGCCGCAGCTTGGACCCAAAACGATTCCCCAATTCATCCATCTCACCTGTCTTGCTCATAGGAATACCCCGCCGGAACCCCTTAACGTGGGTCCTTCTTAGTACACCAGTAGATTCTACTGATATCAAGATTTCAGACACGCAGCCCCAATTCCGAAAATCACCGACCCAAATCTGCACGAAGCGGAATCTAGGCAGATCCAGCACAATATCCCATTGCCCAGTTGATGCACACCAAAAGCATTTTACCAGCTGACAGCGACACAAAGAAAGAGCAATTACCCGGAGGTGTGGTAACAGTGGCGAAGGGCCAGGGATCTGGCGCACAGAGATTGTCGGTCAGACCCAGCACCCAATCCAACTTGACTCCATCAGGCCTCAGATTTGCTTACAGGAGAGTAAACTCGAAGATCCCACAAGTCCACGCGGGTTTCGGCGGAGTTGGTGGGGATATGGAAGATCTGCGGCAGCTCAGGACCAGCCAAAACCCTAACAAAAACCCTCCTTGCGAGGGACAAATCGCCGCGCGTGAGGCGCGTACAAAAAATGGATAATGCTCAAAATTTCATCTTTGTAGAGAGAGAAATCTCTTTTTTTCTTTTTCAAGATCTTTGTTTCTTCGTCCTGATTTCTCAAGAAGTATTATTATTATTAGTATTATTCTGTGTCTCTCTCATATTTATCAAGATCTTTTTTCTTTGTCAAGATTTCTCAAGGAGTATTATTGTTCCGTGTCGCTATTGTATTTTTCAAGATCTTTTGTTCTTCGTCCTGATTTCTCAAGGAGTCTTACTATTCCACGTTTCTCTCGTATTTTTTCAAGATCTTTTTTTTTTTTTGTCCGGATTTCTCAAGTAGTATTATTGTTCCACGTCTCTCTCATATTTTTCACGAGCTTTCTTTCTTCGTCCTAATTTCTTAAGAAATATTATTATTCCACGTCTAATTTCAAGATCTTTATTTCTTCTTCCTGATTTCTCTTCTTTTACTGGATGTGGACAAGTATACAGAGTAATAATTACATCGAGAAGATGAGGACGTCGGCTGAAGGTTTTTCACCTTTTTAACCAAATACTCTTTCAATTCCAACAAAAAAAAAATTAATATTCTCTCTGGATGTATGTTTAATTAAATTACGTTTTGTTTATTCACATTATTGCCACGTCATTAGTAGTTTAAGATTTCGTACATTCCTCTAAGTACTAAATATTTTAAAAGCCGAAAAATTGGTTAAATTCGACCCGACCATCATATATTTTTCAAACCGGTTATAATTTGACTAAGGAATCAATTTAAATAATTTTTTTTGTCGAATCAATTTAAATAATTTTGACTAATGGTATTTCGCAATGAACTAGTCTAGTCTAACACTCACCACAAATGTAGCAATCTCCCCTCCCACGCCTCTCTCCCTCTGATTGTCTCAACATACCTTTTACCACTCAGCATAAATAATAGGGGTTTTTGAACATTAGTCCTTACAAAAGATTAAAATTTAAAAAAAACCTGATGCTAGATTAAATATTCAATTTAATCCCTTGAGTGTACTTTTATCAAAATTTACATTCAATTTTTCTTATTTAATGTGTATTTTTATTTAATATCCCCGTATTAAATTTTAATTTTATTAATATGCACATATTTAATTTGTTTTAATTAGAAATGAACGTAAATGAGAAAATATTAAAAAAAAATTTGTGATCAAAAAATATATAGATCCATAAGTGTACAAAAATGATTGTGTTAAAATATATAAAAATTGACTTTTTTGTACCAAAATATTTATACCTACATGATTGTACCGAAATATATTATAATGAACCTAAATGTATGTACTGAAATGTATTATATTGAATTAATGTACCTAAAAGTCAATACCGAAATGTATGTACCAAAATGTACGAACCTAAATGTCAATACCGAAAATGTATGTACCTAAATAAAAAAATTTCAATACAAGTGTACCTAAATGTCAATACCGAAATGTATGTACCAAAATGTACGAACCTAAATGTCAATACCGAAAATGTATGTACCTAAATATCAATACCAAAATGTATGTACCTAAATGTATTTAACGAAATAATAATTGAATTAATGTACCTAAAAGTCAATACTCAAATGTGTGTATCAAAGCGTACGTAACGAAATGCATTATATTGATCGGAATGCATTATATTCAAATGTACTAATGTACCTAAATGAAGAACATACAAAATTGTTATTGGAATATATATTATAAAAAAAATTAATTGCCTAAATGTAGACATTAAAATATATTATGGTGAATGAAATAAAAATTAAATGTAAATCTAATTAATACATTAAAATAAAAATAAAAAGATAAAATAAAACATTGAAATACAACTAATAAATGATATGATTAAATGAGCTAGGGAATAAAATTAGATTTTAATCTTACATATGGTTATAATCTAAAACTCATCTTTTTTAGGGATTAAAATGAAATTTTCTATAAATAATACGACTTGTATCTTCAGATGTCGATGGATTTGACAAATAGCATGGAAAACTGACCACACTGAACCATATTGGTTATGTATTTAATATATTATCGTTGATAGATTATAGTGATGTGGTCGATGTCGACTTTGCCTAATGAGACCAACTCCAATCTTTGACCTAAGGTGAAAATAAATTTATTAGGCTTTTGGTGAGAAATTGAGTTTCTTGCTCCAATGGTGTGAAAATTTTAGGCCAAAAAGTTGTTATATATCACTTCAGCTTTGTTTTTTATTCTTTTCGCTAACTTTTTGAAAAATAATGTTTGACTTGGCTTAATTTTATGAATAGTTCTAAAAAAATATGAAAATTCACAATAAACACATACAATGAGATCAAAAAGCAAAGGTCTAGCCGGGGCTGGAGTTGGCCCGAGAGGCTCTGCTCGGTTTCAGTTCCACCCACTCCATTTTACAGCCATACCCAACTCTACTTTTTACTATATAGCATACATGTAAGCAAGAAATATGAAATATTGAAAGAGAAATGTTAGTTACCTTCTTAGGACAGAAATTTCTACCCACAACTGGTTTCTCTTAATATTGGGAACATTTAATAAGACCATTTGCACATTAACCCAATCTGACCACAAATTCTTCGTTACCGTTGTTCCCCTAAAACTAACAAATAAAATAAAATAAAAAACATAGGATAGTAAAATAAATTAATAAATAAATAAACATGGGATAATTCAAGGCCACCTACCTTTCTGCGCTTCCCCAACCTCCATTCTTATCACGACCTACTTCAGTAGCACCCGCCGCCCCTCAACTCCGATGGCACCGACAACATTGTGTTTCTGGGGACGGGGCGCACTTTGATTGATAATGGTCCTTGTTATTTGACTTTTGTGCTATACCAGATTATCATAACTGACATTTATGAAATGTTAATTCTTTATACTCCCTACATGTTATTTTATTTATTACATTAATTGCCTGATTGCTTGAAATTATTTGGTTTAAAAATTCATTATTTTTACATTCAAATTAAGATTCTTGCAATACCACTTAATTTAAATATATGATTAAAATGATGCAAATACAATTTTGTGATTTAATATATAAATCTAACTTTTTTATTAGAAACTTTCATAAATTAAGAGTATCCAGATGTTTTGTGATGAATTACGAAACTTTTGCCATAATCCCAACCTTCCTGGCCAAGGTCATAGGCCAAAATATAGCCCATTTTGACATAAAAACCATCTCCAATCGAGGGTTAGGCTAAAAGGCTTGTGGGCGTCACCATGCCATAAATAAAACACCAAGCTAGTGGGCTGGCCAAAATGAGCCAGCCAGCTAGCTCGATGAACAGCCCAGCCAGCACCTTCTAGTCCCATAAACCAGATAAGTTCCATGCTTAATCACATGTCGATTGAAAGAAGCAATATTGCAGCAAAACCTCTTCTTAAGTGATGCATCAACAATTAAGTAATTCATGTGTTCTCTCCGAAGTGAGAGTTCTTCTCTCTAGAGTGAGAATCTTCCTTACTGATTCTGTGAGATCTTCAGTTTTAAGCACTTCTGGTGGCACCGGCTCTAGCTTCGGCTAGGGTCGGTTGTTGGGTCCTCTTTTCCCTCTTCTCCTTCTACTTTCCCTGCATCTACTGTTGGTTCTTCCAAATTTCAATTTTGCCTATCTAATTCCCCAACCCTTGTGTGTTTTCCTCTTCCTGGCCCTTCCTTACTTTGATTTTCAATCGTGTTCTTTGTGGAGTTCGTGTGTAGAATTCCAGTGCTCTCACTGGCTTGGGTGTTTCCAACACCACCACCTTCTTCTTGGTGTTTGCCGTTTCCGACAGTGTTGCTCACTGAGCTTCACATAGGTGGTTGACCTCTTTCGTTTGGGTGCCGATTACCTCTTACTTATGGTTGTGCGCATGAGGCTTCTGAGAATAAGATGATCGATGGTGGTGGGAGAATTGGTTGGCTGGAAGCTCCTCAGATTGGCAATGGAGAAAGTGGTGGATGCTTCTCGGATGTTCTTTCGTTTTTGGGCCTTATGGGCTTTTTTATGTTTATGTTTTTTTAAGTCCATTTTTGGTTGTTTATAGATGTTGTTGGGTTTTTGTTTTGTTGTAAGTTTGTGTACGGTGTGTTTGTTTGAAATAAAATTTCTTACTTGACCAAAAAAGAAAAAAGTGATGCATCAACTTAATTAATTAAAGCAGCTTTAGCAAAAAGTTAATTAATTATCTCTTCTTTTTGTACACAAAAGTAAACATCTTAATTGCATATTTTGCAAGTAATCTCATCCCCGGTATTGACTATTAAAATTTCATAATATATTATTTATATATTTTTCTTATATTATGTACTTTTTTAGTATATTATCTTATGTACTTTTGCAAAAAGAATTATACCAGCATGTGGACGGACTAATAATTAAACTTTAATTTGGGCTTAAAAAAAAATAATAATACAACCGGGACCCATGCAAGAGCCAAAATATCGTTGGGGTTGGTCTAGTGAAATGTTGCGTATAGACGTAATTAAAATAAATTTATTTGATAAACCTAACATTAAACTATTTAGTGACGTTGATTTAGGTACAATCTTTTTTATTATTGGTTGGTTATTGTTCGGAGGTTCTTTTCATTAGAGAAGTATATTAAAAAATAACCTCTTTCAGTTGAAAATGAGTTTTTTTTTGTAAAAGGGTTATGATTTGGTCTATGGTTTTTTGGCTCCCTCGGTTGGAGATAGTATAAAATATGGCATGATGTTCATTAAAAAATAATTTCTTACAGAGCTATAAGGCTAAATATGATCCTTTGACCCCTTTCGATAGAATATGGCCTTATATGACTTTGTATTGGGATAAGCTATACGTAAACATTTCCCTATAGAAAGATGACGTTCTTGTGACTCTTTTTTTTTTTAACAAACAATATTATTTACACTAAGAGAAAAGAAGATGAGCTTAGCCTCGCAATGAGTTAACAATAATGTGAGGTCTAATTCGTCTTTGGCGAAAATCAAACTTAAAATCTCTCACTTACAAGTGAAGAGAAATATCATTATAATATTAGGTGGCTCCTTGATTCCAAGATTAAAATGAGTTGATGACTTTGTCAAAAATGTATGTCTCTTCGTACTCAAGTTTTGCACAAACTGGTTCTTACAAAATGCGGTATTACTATTATTTTATTTATTTTTTATATTTGTTAGATATATTAGATATAAAGGAAAGGGATGGAAAAGAAATAAAATGCCCTTTTCGGAATATTATTTCTTTAAGTTAAATGCGGTCCACATGTGAAAAGTTGATAGGAAATAGGAATACGCATGCAGCCATTTTTATGGTAAGAGATTATGATCCAACTACTCGATACAATGAATTCAAAGTTGGAAATATTTAAATAATAAAAGAAAAAATTAATAAAAAATAAATACATAAGATAAATATACTAAAATATAAGAAGAAATTTGACCGCTCTTCCTTTTTTTTTTTCTATTGTAATTTTTGGATTATTATATGATGTACAAAATCAGATGCTAGAAAATCTCACACTACCTTCTGAGAATCTAAATTATGAAAATTTAATAGACACCAACGTGGCCCATTTTTGTAGCTGCAAATCATCAATGCAATTCTTATTCTAGTACTTGCCATAATAATAAAATAAAAGGTTAACATATCCTTTTCAAATGTTATCATTAGAACGCAAGTCCCTGTCTGTTACACTGGTGGAGATGAGTTTTGCCTATGAGTTCAAATTATGTCGACGTTTTAATCTAATAAATTTATTTTTGACCTAAAAAAATGTAGTAATTCTCGAATCAACAAAGAGTTGTTGTAAGATATTTTTTTCTTTTAATTATTAAAATTTAAAAATAATTTTAATCTCGTACCAAATAATTTTTTTAAACTTAAAAAAAAAAAAAATTATTTTTAAAATATGTTCTTAAGAAATATTTTGAGAAATTATGAATTTTTTTTAATAAATTACCAAGCAGGCATCCAGACAAACCCAGCAACAAGAGCTAGAACAGCAATGGCTCTTCTAGCACTTGTGTTTGAGCAGCTGCATAAGAGTGTCTTTCTTCTTCCTCTTCTCGTCCTTTCTGCGTTCATTCTCTTTTCGTTTACTAGATCATCGTCCAATGGCGACGAGAAACGCAAACTCAAGTTACCACCTTCCCCACCAAGGTTGCCATTGATCGGAAACCTTCACCAGTTAGGCACATTCCCGCACCTTTCTCTCCATGCTCTCTCGAAAAAGTATGGCGATTTAATGCTAGTTCATTTCGGGAAAGTTCCGACTCTGATTGTTTCGTCTGCAGAGATGGCCAAGGAGGTGATGAAGACGCAGGACATTGCTTTCTGCAGCCGGCCGAAAGCCACTGCTCCAGGAATATTGTTCTATGACGCTCATGATGTGGCGTTTGCTCCTTACGGGGAGTACTGGAGGCAAGTTCGGAAAATCTGTGTTCTTGAGCTTCTCAGTCTTAAGAGGGTTTCACAGTTTCAGTACGCAAGGGTTGAAGAAGTTTCCGAGTTGGTCGGAAAGATTCGCAAAGCGTCGAGTCTCAATGGCGGGGGTCCTATTGTTCTGAGTGATCTGCTGGTGGCAACCTCCAACAACATCATCTGCAGGTGTATTCTCGGACAAAAGTTTGAGGGCGAAGAGAACAAGTGGTTCGGAGATGTGGCGAAAGATTTGATGTGCCAACTCATGAGTTTCAGTTTTACGGATTACTTTGGTCCGAGGATGAGTTGGCTCGACCGTGCTAGAGGCCACATTAAACATTTGACATCAATTTGGTCCGAATTTGATAAGTTCTTCGATAAGTTGATTGCCGAACATAAGGAGGCAGAGAAAGAAGGCAAGCCTCGCAAGAAGGATTTCGTGGATATTCTCCTCCAAGTTCAAAAGGATGGCAATGACTTTGAGCTCAAAAGTGACCACCTCAAAGCACTTCTACAGGTCTGTATATATCCCCCTCCATAAGTTACTCTCTATAACAATAACATGGATAATATATATATATTTATGGCTGAAGATTGATTTGGCTTCTTAATTTACGATTTCAGGACATGTTTGTCGGAGGAAGTGATACTAGTTGGACTGCCATGATATGGTTGATGACAGAGCTTGCAAAAAATCCGCGTGTGATGAAGAAAGCCCAAGAAGAGGTAAGAAGAGTGGTGGGGAAAAAGGGATTTGTAGATGAGAATGTTGACATCCCCCAAATGACCTACATGATATGTTGCATCAAAGAAAATATGAGAGTTCATCCTCCGGCACCTCTTTTACTTCCCCGTGAAACAAGTACAGGTGTGAAATTGGGAGGTTACGACATCCCTGCGAAAACACAAGTGTTTGTCAGCGCATACTCGGTACAAAGGGACCCCAAAGTCTGGGACAAGCCCGATGAGTTTTACCCGGAGAGGTTCGAAGAAAAGTCCGTTGGTTTCGTAGGTCAGGAGTTTGAACTCATCCCATTCGGTGCTGGGAGAAGAGTGTGCCCTGGACTCGGCTTTGGGGTTGCTTCAGCTGAATATGTGCTTTCCAACCTTCTATATTGGTTTGATTGGAAATTGCCTAGTGGTGGTAAAGCATTGGCTGAGACCATGGACACCGATGAAGTTTACGGACTCACAGTCCATAAGAAAGCTTCTCTCAACCTTATCCCAATCCCATACAACCCTTGATCCCTCCATAGAGGTCCGTCATACTTATATATGCTTTTAATTAATTGTGTTTGTTGTTTCTGTTTCACCTGAATTTGCTTTAGTAATTCTGCACTTTACAATGTTTTGATCCTCAACGAGACGTTGTAATGTGACTGCGTAGAAATTGTAACAGATACATAGTTTTTGATAATAATACATATTTCGGATTTCCATACAGAGGGACCCCGAAGTATGGGACAGGCCGGAGGAGTTTATCCCAGAGAGGTTCGAGGACAGCCCCATTGATTTCAAGGGCCAGGACTTTCAACTCATCCCATTTGGTGCTGGGAGAAGGGGTGCCCGGGAATTGCCCTTGGGTTCTTTCGGCCGAACAGGTGCTTGCGAACATTCTGTACTGGTTTGATTGGAAATTGCCTAGTACTAGTGGTAGTGCATTGCGTGAAGCCTTGGACATGACTGAAGTTTATTGGCTCACGGTCCGTAAGAAAGCTCCTCTGATTCTTGTGCCGGTACCCGACTCTCCTTGATCCCTCCATCCAGAGATTTCGTGTTTAACTTGCTCTTAATCTAGTTGTTCTTTTGTTTTTTTGCTGAAGAAGTTGTCTGCCTTAATGATATGGTAAACTATATAAAATGTATTGTTTGCCTAAGTTCTCAGAGGCATCTCAATAAACACTTCTCCCATCTTAGCTACTTCCATTCTACCTTGGATGAGTTCTTGGGTTAATTTTTTGAGTCTTTTTTTGGGAAAATGTAGTACTCATGGCCAATCCCAAGCGGTCAAGTTTTTATTGGAAAAATTATTAGAACCTTCATTTAATGGAAATATTTGAATTAGAAACTGTTGTGCGGAAGTGTCAAATATGAAACCAATAAACTAATACGGAAAAATATGACAAGACAAACAATCTATAATGACACAAGAATTTATATTGGTTTGGCTTACATGCAATTCAAAGAAGACGAGGAAATTCCGCTAATATCAAAATGGAGATTACAAATCGAATTTTACTCTCAAATCCCAAAACCCACATATACCCAATAGCTCTCACTCATACAAGAACAAATGGAGAAGATAGAAACACATACCAAATCCCTTCTATCCCAAAAGCCACAAAACATAGCCTGAATATCTTTGACTGAGTGATTACTAAGAGCAACTCCATCGTTGCTAAGGCCCCCCAGGGCTATTCACTATTTAATTCACCCAGTAAACAAGAATTACCCTTAATGAACAGTAACAACATTTTGCATCTCCACCCCTACACTGAAAAACCCTAGCAATAGGCAATAAAATATTAGTATTTTATTTATTTATAAAATAATACAAAATAATTTTATTTGTAATTTTGAATAAGATTTTTAATCGTTCTCATTGCGCCACGTGTCATTATCTGAAAAGACAATTATTGGTGATGAATTTCGATAAGATTTTTATCCAATACCGTCGTGTCACGTGCTGTTACCTTTTCAAAATCGTTAAGGATAGATTTTCGATAAGATTTTTGACCAATCACGTCGCGCCACGTGTCACAATCTGTTTACAATCTTTGGGGATACATTTCGATCAGATTTTTAACGAATGACGGAAATCGATCAGGAATCCACCATCCATATAATCCATACCAATTTTCTAAATAATCCACCATCCATATAATCTGTTTACAACCTAATCCTTTATGAATCCTCCATATAATCCACTATCCATCCTCAGAAATCTCACACCAATTTTCTCAAGATCTTTATCGTTATTCATAGTTTCTGCTTCCTTCTTCACCAAAATCAAAATTTGTATCATTATTCATAGTTTCTCGTTCTTTCTTACAATGTCTTCTTCTTCAAGGATGATGTGGGAAATCGATCAGCAAGAGGAAGATGTGTTTAACCAATTAGAAGGAATGTTCAATCTCCAGGTGGCCCAAAATGAGATGGAAAAGGATGAGGAGCGTAGAAGGAGAGATGACAAAGCAAGAATGGCAAGAGCCTCACATTCCCGTCGAGTCATCCAAGTTATGGCTCAGATCTGCAGGCCAAGCCATTTTGTAAACCTTGATAAAAGTAGGCAACGACGAGGTACATATCTATTGGACGATTATTTTGTCCGTCACAGTGCATTCCCTGATACGTACTTTAGACGTCATTTTAGAATGGAACGACACTTGTTCAACAAAATCATGATTGTTGTTTGCAACCATGATTCTTACTTTGTGCAAAAGAATGATGATTTTGATGTTATGGGTCTCATTCCTGAGCAAAAAATTATTGTTGCCTTGCAGATGCTTGCATATGGAGCATCTGCATACCAAATGGATGAGATAGCGAGGATGGGGGAATCAACCATTCTTGAGTCCCTGATGAGGTTTTGCGAAGCAATTGAATCTATCGACATCGCAAAGTACCTCCGGAGACCTACTGAGATAGACTTGCAAAAGCTTCTAAAGAAGGGCGAGATACGAGGTTTTCCTGGGATGATTGGAAGCATCGATTGTATGCACCAGACCTGGAAAAACTGTCCAAGTGCATGGCAAGGCGCTTATGGGGACAAAAAAAAGCAAAAAGTGTCATTTTGGAGGCGGTGGCATCTTTTGATACATGGATTTGACACGCCTTTTTCGGGGTTCCAGGAGCTCAAAATGACCTTAATGTCCTTGCCCAATCCCCAATGATGTCTTGCAAGGAAAGGCACCTAAAGTCATGTACTCGGTCAACGGACATAAATACGACGGGGCATACTACTTAGCAGATGGCATTTACCCAAGGTGGTCATCTTTTGTCAAAACAGTGCCACTTCCGCAAAGTGCAAAGGAAAAACACTTTGCAAGCTGTCACGATGGGTGCAGGAAGGATGTGGAGTGTTGTTTTGGTATCCTCCAAGCTTGTTAGGCGATTATCAAGGGTGCTGCCAGAATGTTTGATTTAGAGTCGCTTCGATCCATCATGATGACGTGCATCATTCTTCACAACATGATTGTGGAAGATGAGTACAATTATGATGTCGTTAATGAATATGAGCCAGACACGATGAACAATTCCAGAACACAAATATATTATGCTCATGACGCCACCGAAGAACCTGTGCAACACGAGCCATTAGAAAGGGATGAACGTTACAATCAAATGCTCATTCAACGATATGCTGCACTTCAAAGGCCATATATGCACAATGCCCGGCATATTGATTTGATAGAGCACCAGTGAGAATTGAAACAAGCTCAAGATACTTAAGTTCATTTAGTGTGTTTGTTTTTATTTGGTGTGTTTATTTAATTTTATTTGGTGTGTTTATTTAATTTTATTTGGTGTGTTTTTTTTAGTTCATTTAATGAGTTTTTTATTATTTGGTATGTTTATGTAATTTTATTTGGTGTGTTTTTATTAGTTCATTTAATGAGTTTTTTTTTTATTATTTGGTATGTTTATGTAATTTTATTTGGTGTGGTTTTTTTAGTTCATTTAGTGAGTTTTTTTTATTATTTGGTATGTTTATGTAATTTTATTTGATTAAAGATTATCTTAGTATAAATAAATTACCAAATTAAATAAATTTTCTCTTACATTAAATAAAGTACTAAATTCAATAAATTGGAAACAACATAAAGTACTCTATTCAATAAATAATAGATTGCAACCCAAAGTGATTGAAAAATTATGGGCTCCGATTACAAACAAAGTGATTGGAAAATTATGGGTTCGTGAACGAATCATCGTCACCTAACCAATTTGTGGTGCTAGAATGATCTTCTCTTGTCGTGCTAGGACCATTCCACTTGCTCTCGCTTCTCTTGCACGCCTCTTTTGCACCACGTCGGCTTTCTCCGACTTCCAAAAATATTTAGAATTTGGAGACTTCCTTTCTAAAGGCGTATTCATAATGTCACGATCTCGTTGAGCCATTCTTTCTTCTCTAACATGTTCCTTTTCTTGCCTAAGTAGCTATCTTTCTGTCCTATTAGCTTGAAATTCTCTCTCAACAGCTGCAGCTTTTGTCTCCACTCTAGCCTTATCAGCCTCAAATTTAGCCATTTCCCGTGCCAAAGTCAATTCACCTTGGCGAGCAAGTTCTTCCATATACTTTGCATAATCATTCTTGGAAGCACTCCATTTTCTCTTTGAAGCCTTCTTACCTTGAGGCCTAATTGGATAACAGGTCCACCCCGACGCTTGTTCCGGGGGGGGGGGGCGTTTCAGGCACTTCTTCTGCGTCATCTTCATGAACATGTGAGGAATGATCGGGTGTAAAGTGTAGATGGGTGCTGTTCATGAAAACTTCGAGACCAACAGGCACAATTCTAAATTTAAGACAATCTTTGACAATATTCCAACATTCCCACATTTTGAATGATTGCTTTTGGTTTTTGGATTTGGCATTATACCAAGATTGTGCTTGAAGTGTCTACATAATGCGGGCGAAGAAATAATTATAATCAAAGTAGCTAATGTAAATTTGGGTATAAAACAAACAAATAAATAATATATTGTTACCTGATCTTCTAAATTTTCCCCACTTTGAAGATTACTACTAGCTTGTGCCAAAGTATCTCTCCACATACCAAACGATTGGCTAAGTATTTTCCAACAACTAGACATCGATTCTTTGGTTCTTTTCCCACCCATTTTCTCAAGATAATTTGTATGAATAAGACTCCACATTTCTCGCAGCTGCATCTCATTACCGATAATCGGATCATGAGTAACTTCAACCCAACTAGTACACAACGCAACATCTTCAATAAGAGTCCAATTCGTATCTGCATTAGTAGTCATTTTATTGGAAAAAATATTGGATTGAAACTTTGAGAGAAAGATAGGAATGTGGTTGAAGGTAGCTGAGAAAATATGAAATTGTGGTTGAAACTTTGAGAAAATATGAAATTATGGTTGTGGTTGCAAGTATTTGCGAGAAAGATTGGAATATGCTTGAAAGATTGGAATAAGGTAGAAGATAATGAGAAGGTATTTATAGAAAAGTAAAATCAATTTTTTTTTAATTTTTCAAATTTTTTTTTTCGGATTTTTAATAATTTTTAATTTTTATTCACATAATTAATCTTTGCCGTTGGATTAAAAAAAATTGAATTCCAACATTTCAGATTGTACCATGTGGCACAACGGTAATATTTCAGAATTATAATTTTTTTTAATTTATAAAGGTGAATAACGTGGATCGTTGATCTCAGATCCAACGGTTGAAATTAAATAAGGTTTTTAAATTTTTGTTACCGTTGGAAATCTAACAATCCACAAATTGTTGTCGTTGAAATCCAACAGATGAGGGGAAGCCACGTGGCCTCCCAACGATAACATTTTCAGAGTGCGCAGCGGGCCCCAGCTTCTGAAATCCTGTCAAACGACGCGCGCCAAATAGAGCTTGAAGCCCACGCACCTGACAGAAAAAAAATATATATAAAAAATGGTTGATGTTAGCCTTGCCATCGGGCTCTCGGGCCAGCTCTATCGCCAAACCCCTCCCTCGGGCCAGCTCAGGCTTAATAGCCAGCTTGGGCTGAACCTTCTTGCTCGGGCAATTGGACACTGTTTGATCCACTGTCCACTGGGCTATCAGCTTCGGTGGAGCTGCTCTAACAAAGAGGGAGCAGCAACTCATTTTCTCACTAATTAGAGTTGTCGGCATACAACTCCTTTTTCTCTCATATGCCGCCGCTCCAAACCAAAAGGCATAAAGAATGCTTTGTATATAT